ACTTTACGCAACTCTTCTGAATAACGTGTTAAAAACAATACATTTCTTGTCCCTGTATGACTACCTCGAGTGTATTTAGTCTCCGGTTTTTAACTTTGACTTCTTTCGATGTTTATTTGTTTTGCTCATCAGCGGCCACCTTCTTGTCTAGCTAAATGTTTGAATACTGTGATCGCGGCTTCCGAAGTATCGCTGACTTTACTGCGTTTTTTTATGGAAATCTCCCTAAGGAACTACGCTTTGTTTGTTTAGGACTGCCGCTGCACTCCTAAATTAGTCTGGCCTTTGAGGCTTGTGTTAAATCCCACACTTTATTGGAACCAAGCTTGGCACTCGAATACCAGTTAAATCTTCTAAAACTAACTCTTTGTTAGCTTGGGGTCTTTATCTACTTACCATCTCCCTACTTCCCTATGGCTTCCCACTGTAATGTGTTGAACTTTACCTGCAGTTAACCATCTGCATCGATTTCCTTGGTGATGGTGAATTTGGGCTCACCACCAGTCTCTCAACCAGCGAATGCTCATGTACGATCGCACGGCAGCACGTCGGTACCTGTGCCATACCAAAAGCTTTACATCGCTACATCTAAATACACATTGTCCTTTCGGTGTTGCCCTCTCTCATCACTGCAATACCGAAACCCTCCACTTCCGGTTCGGTCCCAGCGATCGCAATTGCAGTGACTGACTCCACAGTTAACCGAAGTCTCAATTGAGATTGCGTGTCGCAACCCAAGACACATGGCGAGTACTCTAAAATCCAACATTCAAGCCATTGTCCTCATTCTAGTACTATACCCAAATATCTTGCCACTTTCAGGCACTAATCATCAAGTGTTGAATACACATTTCTTTTAAATTACTATTTCACACCGAGCTTACCTTTCAGAAACATGAATCTTATCATCCCCATACCTCTTTAATGTTTACGTTATATTAATTCTAATACAGGAGCATATAAACACGCACTTTTTACCTACTTTCGACCGCACTTTTCCCAGAGCATCGCATTTTATTTTTATTTTTTCATATTTTGCGTATAATCATTCAAGGTACAATTCTAATCTTTTCTGTTTCTTTCTAGTCTATATTACTTTATGCTGGATTTCCTGAATCCCAAGAAGAATTCACTTGTTTGTCCTCTTTGTAATGGAACGGTTACAAGTGAGAATTGCTCACCGAAAGATTGTCCGCATGTATTTCACACTACCTGCTTTGAAAATTGGACCGCATCAAAATTACCCGCTGAAGAACTCGCCTGTCCTGCGGCTAGTTGCTCTCTAAAGTTCTCTGAGATCGTGCTTAGAAAAATTCCCTTCGGGCCAACGACCAAGGTTGTATCACTCAAAGATTCCCATCAATGTCCCATCTGCTGCGAGCCGATTCAAGCTCCTGTCGCAACTCCCGAATCTTGCAATCACGCATTTTGTTTTACTTGCATCCGTGAGTGGTGCCGTGTTCGTCATGAATGTCCATTGGATCGTGGTGCTTTTGAGCTGCTTCTTTTATCAGACAAAGTCGGTGGTCCCATCACACGGAGGGTGAGTTTCCAATAATAACTCTCGACATATACACGCAATACTTTTGTGCTATATGCCGTTTGTTCGCCGTGTTGACGGCCTGATCTCTCAAATCAACCATTCATAACTACTGCAAACCATCGTCTTATTAATTTTGTCTTCAATTCCCTTCGTTATTGCGCAGGGTACTTTACTGTTACTTCTGGCGACATACTAGATAAACTGATGAAATGATTAGATAAACACTCTTTCCATCCTGTTTCTGCATTGTGGTTGTTTATAACCTGTTATCCTGCACTCCTCGTCGGTATTCTGGACTTCTGCTGTCATGCTATGAGGCCTCTGTGTCACATGCATCCAATCTGGATTCTCGATATACTTTCCTGGCTTAGTTTTCTTTTGTATTTTCAGCGTTCTTGTATCCCTGCATTTACTGAATGATTATTAGACACTGACTTTGGCAGCGATTCTATCAATCTGATCACCCTTCGAGTTTCCGACAGATTTGGCCTCACCATCCTCCAGGTTGTAGGTTGGAAAGAGAACAAGGACTACCTCTGAGCCTAGTGGATGTCGCGAACGTCTTCTAGCTCAATTTGAGGTAAAGTGCGGACACCACGAATTTACAGGGAGACCTGGCGTCATCTAGCTACTGCTGCACAATCCTTATGCAAGTGCTTGTGGTGAAGTCAAATCATCATAAATCACCGCGTTGCACTAGCACTGCCGATGTATTTAGGCATGACATTGGTCTGAAATTATAAGCTTGTGTATCAGCTAAGTGGATGTGTACGCATGGTATTGATAAATTTCTTGAAGTTCACAAGGAAACGGGATAAATACACTGTGTTGCGCAATAAAATGAAACCCCAAATTTCGGGCCCACAGCAAGAACGTTGCATAAATTTTTTCAGGTGGTAAGATTCGTTAGATTCCTTCGATGAAAGTTGTTACACGCCAAAAATATCTAGTAAAAATGAAGTCAACCAGATTTTGCATTCCACTACGCCTGCAGATGAGTTTGTTTGAACGGGTAACCAGTGCGGAGCCATTCTCTAGGAGACTACGATAAATGGTTGGTTACTAGTACAGACAGTGAGGGAGAATACAGGCTGTCACGAATTAAATATCAGGGTGCTGAATGCATTTTGAGTTTCGGAACATAAAACGATACTCTCACACTGCGGAACGTCTCGTCAAAATGAGTTGACCGTGATAAATTTTGATAAAAAAGTACTCCATTATGTTTAACAGTGGGCGAACTGGGTATGATGTCGTCACTCACGATTATGTGGCTTATTTGTCAAAGTCAGTTTATCAGTGTGGAGGAGACAGAAAGTTACGTCGTGGAATTTGGAAGCGTTGAGAACAGGGAATGAGAACGATGATCGTCGATGAAGCTCATCCAATCTGCTTTGAAGAGCTATAGTTGACTCATCGGTGCTGCCATAAACATCGTCGCCAGCATACTTACATCCGATCACCTTAGGGGGGAATGGGAACTTTTTCGATATATAAGGAAACTAGAACGGGGGGAGATGATTCAACACCTAAAACGCCCCGATTATCGCGAAAAGTGGCGAATTTTTTTACTGTTTAGCTGAATGAAATGGGAGCGATTTGCGAAATAGCTGCTGATCTTGCACAATGCTGTTTGAACACCATTTACAGATAGCAGATTAAGCAGGATTGACCTGTCAACATTGCCGGAAGCGTTGAAATAAGCAAGGAGAATCCGCACAGTCTTTCATTTCGCATCCAAAGCAGATGCCATAGAGTGGACAAGGTATGCTACAGTATCCAACATGAAACCTCTGAGATTGTATGCATACTAAGATACATTCACAGTCGGTGCTTGTAGATATCCAAGCCACATGTAACCGCTTTTCGGTTTTTAGCACAATGCACGTACAAGCAATCGGATGGTATTTCAACGATTCTTTCTTTACCACGGGTCTAACCTAGACGAGCTTCCAAATATCGGTACTGGTGCTTGCCACATCAAGAGTACGCTGCGCCGCCGTACTCTTGATACTTTTTTATAGTACAATCACCAGAGTTACCGAGTGGGGTTTGATCATACTTAGCTCTCAGCCGAGCATTGTTTGTGAAGACGAAATCTA